AGCGGCTGCTTTCCCTGGCTCTCCGACTCAGAGGTGTGCTGGGAGATTACCCCCGACGGCGGAGAAATCCTGTGCCAAGGAGATAAGAACTCGCTCCATGCTCATGTAAACTCACCAGCCTCAGACTTTAGGTGCAGCCAGTCGTTGCATCACCGCGTGATTCGCCGCAAAAGTATTTCACAGTTTCAAAAGGCTTCTTACATCACCGACACATGAGGGCTCGCATTAGCCTTGTGGTCAACAACGCGTGTCATCTTCCGGAGAAGAGAGAGGAAAAACAGTCTCATATAATGTTAAACATTATTTCGTTATTAGATACAAAATGTGTTTTGTCATCTTGTGCTGGTGGATTTCATCTGAGCTGCCAGGCTCATTATTCTTTAATTAGGACTCGCAAGTAAACGACTGCAAATCAATCTGACATCTGATAAACAAAGCAGACGAGATGCAAATGAACTTCCAGTTCTTCCTTTTTCTGAATCTGCTCTAGACGTCTTCTGAAACATTTAAAGAAGAATCAAAAGGAAAAGACGTGTAAAAAAATTTATCTGATATTATGGATTTAAATTTTGCTGATCCTAACTTAACCAGTAAAGTCATTAATTTAGTATCTTTCTGGTTGAAAGAACAGGGGGTTTATTTACTGAGAAAAATATATATTTTTTTAAGTTCAAATAGTAAAGGAAAAAAATTAAGTGCACCCCAGCTGCTTCGATTGTGTTTCTTCAAACATTTAAGATTTGAAGAAACCCTTTACATGTTTTCTTTTAATGTAGAGAACATTTAAGATTGACCTACTGTGCTTCCTTAAAGGGTGAGGATACATCTATGGCCTATTCAAAACATGTTCATTGCGCTTTGTTTTTGCACAAAATCCTTCTCAGATAATGAGTTTTCAGCTTTAGGCCACACCCTAAACTCAACATTTACACTCACAAATGAAAACAGCTGCAAATAAATGCACAACCGTACATCTCTGAAAAGCAAAAGTGGAGCCTCCTGCACAACCAGCATGAACGCAGCAAGTGGTTTCTGGATGGTAAATCAACAATAAAACGCTGTCTTTTCCAGCAGCCATTGCACAGCACCTACAGCAGTAAAACCAGCTGACTAAATGTGCTAAAGCTCCACTTTAGTCGCTATGTAGCAGCGCAGCATGACTCAACAGTAGGAAAGTTTTAGAAACAGCTAATTTTCCAGACACTTAAAAACTTTGACTTGTTACCAAAAAAAACCCACTGCTTTGTTTTTTTCAAGTGCTTGGTCTGTCCCTTAAAGCAGTTGAGACCAAAAAGGAAGAACAAAAATGTGCAAAAAATAAATTTAAGTCATCAAAGTTTGACTAAAAGATATGGCAAAAACAAAGAGCTGCATCTAGTTAGGAAAATATTCCTGTTAAAGCAACCAGCTTCTCCATATCCTATAGCTGAAATATGCAATATCAAGCACGGTGGTGGAGGGGTGAGGATGCGGGTCTCTTTGCATCAAACCAAAGAGCTGAGTTTATGCAAACTGAAGTAAAACTGGAAAAAAAGACAATTAGAAATTGCAATCGAGCTCTATGGCTGCTAAAGCTAATACTACAAGCTGCTGAGTCATAGGGTGTACTAAACTACTCACTAATATCCAAGGTAATGTTTTAGTCTTAGCCAAAAAACTAAATTTTTCCAAGTTTACTAATGTAACTGAATAAAGTTACTATCCAACTAAATAGACAAACTTTGTATTTATATAATAACTATGTTAGATTTTCTGAAAGATGAAAATTGCAAATAAATCATCTTCATCCAATTTGCAAAAGCGTTTATTCCCATGCAACTAAAACGTTCTCCTCCATGTTGAGTGAGACGAACATCTTCTGACACATGTTGCAAGCGGACGTCGCGCCTCTCTTCACGTGATCGGAGCGATCAGCCGCCGCAGGATTAACCTCAGCTAATGTCTTTTAAAACGCTCTTAAGAGGGCAGCTTTGACTCCAAGCTGGCTTGACAAGTGTCAGACATGGAGGCGTTTCAGGACGAGTCGCAGCCGGACACAAGCGGACCAGTCAAAGGACGTCAGCGGGTAAAGCTGGCAAACTGGCAGACACAGGAATTACTGAGAAAATGGCTTCAAATTTTATAATTCAGAAAGTTTTTGTGCTTCAGTTCAAGTTGCTAGTTTATTTTAGCAACAGTGATTCATTATGGATTCTGTCAGATATTTACAGAAGTCTAATAATATTCGATTAACTTAATCACGTAGTTCAAATTATTAAAAAGCCCCAAAAAATGTCAAACTTCTTCTAAATACTAAACAGTATATGGGATACTGGCTTAAAAATGTCTGGATTATTTAATTTTTTCTAATTTCTATTTTCACCATTTTATTCATTCATTGTCAGTTTCAAACTAAATATTTAATTAGCAAACTAAATGTTAAATTATTTTTTTTCTTGCTAACTAAATATTAACAAGCTAGATATTGCTTCAATCTAAATATTTAGTTTTTATTCCAAGCTAAATATTTATTTCAAAACTAAATATTTAGCTTATTTAGCATGCTAACTAAATATCTACATTTTTATTATATTTCTAGTTAAATATTTAACATAAACATTTAACTTATAATATTTAGCTTAAAATATTTAGCTAGAAAGGTAAATATTTAGCTTTTAAAACAAAAACTTAGTTTAAAACGGACTAAATATTCTTTTAGCAAACTATTCTATATTTGCTGTGCTAAATAGCATGTTATTTAGCTCCAAAGTCAAGCAAGATAAATATGTAAAAAATGTAAGTCATCCCATTAAAACAGGACTGAACATATTTATATATTTTAGTTTGTCTTGATAAGAAAAATTTTTCTATTTTCAATTAATTAGAATTTCAGTCTTTTTAACTGAAGTTTTAATGGGAAAAAACTTGTTTTAGATGCACTTTTATAGAAAAAAATATTAAATATTTGTTCTAATTTATAAGTTTAATTTAGAAACATGGCCTCTCATATAATGAATATTTTTAATGTTTGTTGAAGCTTTTTTCTGTTGGTGTTTTGAGCCATTTGTAAAGCATCACATCTTTTCTGTTAGCTCAGATGTCCTATTCAAATTCTGAATATGAACACTGCAGGGCACAAGGTGCCAAACCATGTGAGATATATCCTATAACATATTCTGCACAGGAACGCTGCTGCTGTCGGGGCCCAAAATTTACTGCCGCTTTTAGAATAATAATGGAAATCTAAGGCCATTTTTTCAGACTGATTCCACCTGAATTTCAATGAATCTAGAAGAAAAATCCTCACTAAAGAATAAGAAAGCGGATGTGCCCTTAATATTTAAAAGTGTTTTAATGCCATGCTGCAGCTAGTATTGAAGACGAAATGTAATTCATGCAAAAAGAGGCAGGATTCTATACAGAGCTGCAAAAACATAAATAACAAATAAAAATGGTAAATGTAGAGTTTTCATGTTTCCTCCTGGTCACGGTGAGCAAATAAATTATTTTTATAGCGCAATAAGCATTCACACAAAATGATACAGCAAATATATGGAGCGTCTCTTTTCCTTTTGTGACTATATTTATGGTTTTTAACTATAAATATAGACACAAGAGGAAACTAAGACAACAAACAGGAAGCATTTTGGGAGTAATATCCTCCAAAAAGAGGATTTTATAAACCAGGACTAAGAAATAGATTAAAAGAGGGCAAAAAGAGGCTACGCCAATCTGTGTCCTTCCTGTAGTTGATTAGTCTAAAATGTGAAAGAAATATTTTATATAGCCGCAAACCATCAGATTGTTCTGATTTAGACGCAGTTTGGTCCAACGACAAACTTTTGTCCAATTTCCAAGCTTAATATATCACAGTTTAGCTAGCGAGCTAATTACCGCAGGCTGGGCTGTTTTGTTAACTTTCAGTTCAATAAAATTCAACATCTGAGAGGCAGATGCAATTTGAATTTAAGCTAGCGCTTTAGCATGCTATCATGTTTTAGCGTTAGCGTAACTACTGTTTGTGATTAGGTGACCACTGGTTTTGACCATTAGCAGTTCTGGCTTAAAATGAAAATACCATTACAATTGAATTTGTGGTAGTAAAAGGTGGGGAAATAAACTGGGATTATTTCCCCAGCAGAGACCAGCTTGTCAGATTAGAGAGCTGTTAGAGTAGCTGCTGGCCTGCTTGCTCTCATCATGGCAGCCAAAATGATGCCTTCAGGCTTTTTGCCTCAGGCTGTTTGATGAGCATCTTTATTTTCTCCATGGAGTCGATACAGAAGATTAATTGAGACAACCTTCACAATATGGGCCTTAATCATACATTCTGCACTCTGAATTTTATATATCTCAAAGCTAATTTAAACAGCTCTCAGTTTTCACTGTGCTTGTAAAAACAACAGCCTGGATGCTTGGTGCATTGTGTATTGTGCATTCAGGCTGCAGAGCGTAATTTGTCCCTGAGATCATTTAATAAAAAGGCAGCTATAAAATTTATTTAACTTTCTTAATCAGCATTTGTCGAGACACTGAAAAAACTTAACGCTGGATTTAGAGATGCACTGAATTAGGACAGGAATTAAGCCTTTGCATATTTGCTTAATATGCAGAAGTGGTTACAACAGTAAATTGTTATGTTTGTTTTTGTTTGACTGCAATTAAACTTTAGCTTTATTCGAATGCTTGACAGGTTCTGACTGTTGTGGGAAAGTAAGTTTATTTTACCATAACCAAATAAGTTGTTTGTTTTTACTCTGTTTTTGTGTTTTATCATTTAAAACATCAGAAACTAAACATAACTGATTACATTGTCAAAACACTGCGTCGCTTTTTCTTTTATATATGAGGCCGACAATTAAGATTTGGAGCAGCTAAAACCGATGCTAGCCATTGTCAGGGAACAGTTTTTTGCCCTCCAGCAGGGAAATGGGGACAGGATGTTGCACGTGTGACATCACACCGCAAGATGTCGACGCCAAATAAACTGCCTGGATGGATTGAAATGGTCTCAGCTTTACCTTTGTCTTTTTCTTTGAGGTTGTTCAGGAATTTCAGAAGCTCTGCGTTCGCCTGGACACAATAAACTTCCCTCGTCTGCAGGCCTCCGCCGCAGAGCCCGGTCATGTTGGCGCGCCGTCGGTCTTGTTGGCTCAGCAGCACGTCGACCCGACAGTCGCTCCACTCCGTGGTTCTCCATGTGTAACTACAAGGATGACATGAAACAGCAGGACAGGAGAGTGGGTGCAACAAAGTGTCAAAATATGCACATTTTAAATCCTGCTGACATAAACTTATGTAAATAATATATGTCACACGGTTTCAGACAAGAAAATAACAGATGCTCAAATGAAGTGTGACAATTTCTTTCACTCAAAATCCATTTTATTTAACTTTTTGTCACTTGGGCCAAAAACTACAAAATTTCTAATCAGATTCTGATTCTTGCTCAACAACTAAAGTGACGACAATTTAATCTACACATTTGTGACACATTTTGTAAGATTGGGTGTGTAAATTATTGTATCCCCAAACATTGAGAATCCAATACACAACACAAAAATTACATGTTTGCCTAAAAATAAATAAAAATAAAGGCTTTTATGCATATTTTAGGGGGGAAAAATTTATCTATAAAAACAGAAGTTTCGTCACATTTTGGATCAAATTTGATATATTTAGGAATATTTAATAAAAAGCAGCTTTTTGTGAAGTAATAAAGTAGACATGTTCCTGTTTACTATAAACCAGAGAAAATGCAGGAAACATTAATATTTTCCATTATAAGAACATTTTAATTTGTTTGTGATAACTTTGTGTTAATTAATAACAAAAAGTCTCCATCTGCACAGTCCTGACGTAACAATTTAAAATGTGTAGGAGCAGCAAAGAGTGAGCAGTTTGACAGAAAACCAATAATCCCTTGGATTGGATTAAAACATATGGCTTCAGTCTGAAGTGAGCTGAAACTGAGCTGAAACTGAGCCGTCTGTCAGACTGAATGCAGGCACAACGTCTGTGAAAATTTAAAATAGCCTGACAGTCTCCCCGTTATTGCCTTTACTTTTTGTCTGGCACCAGCCCAGCCACTTATACTAATCTCTATCCATATGCTAACTCACACACACACACACACACACACACACACACACACACACACACACACACACACACACACACACACACACACACACACACATGCAGGAGGAACCACCCAGGAGAGCAAATTATCCTGGTGATACGTGAAAAGGGAGGTCAACAGGAAGTGCGTGCAGCCTGAGCCAACGCTTTTATTTTTCTGTATGGTGCGAGTGCGTGACTGAAATAGCGAATGAGTCCCTGCAGTATTTCATAGCACAATCTGAAAACTGCAAGAAAAGGTAAAGATACCATAACAACAATGCATATTTACAGTAAACTGGACATTTATGTAGCATTTATAAAAAACAGAACCAGTTTTTACCATCAGAATCTGAATCAGCCTCAGCTTTCTTGGTTTTAGATCACAAAATTGTAAATTAATTTCTGTGTTTTTGATTGTTTAACTCCTTTAAAGACAAAAGTCACTGAGATCACTGCGCCTTTAAAAACAATTAAAAAAATTCACCAGATCCATGAATTTTCACCAACAGATCAGAAGTTTTGACGTCAGCAGTGTTAAAATAGTTTTGGGTTTTATTTCGTACTTCAGCTCGTTTTAATTAGTTTTTAGAGTGCGTTTGTTGGTTTGTCAAATATTGTTTGGTTTGAACTTACACTGCAAAAACACAAAATATTCCCAAGTGTTTTTGGTCTAGTTTCTAGTGCAAATATCTTAGTCTACTTGAAATAAGATGAAAGCGACTCAGTAAGAAAAATAAACTTTTCAGTCAATAATTTCTTAATATTGATGAAAAAGTAACAGTTTCACTGGCTGTTTCTGGACTGGCTGCCACTTTTGCTGTTTTCCCTGTCTGAGCTCAATCATTATATATTTTTAAAGGCAATTTGAAACATCATAATCCATTTATGTTGAATATTTAAAATGTTTTCCATTTCCAGAGTTAAATTATCTTTAGAAATGTAAGTTTTCTTTATGTTTAAGTGGGTAAACTTGCATTAATAAGCTAATATTATTATTTTGGTGGATTACAGCCTCAAAATCACAACATCATCATTTATCGCAATAATTTCAGGGAAAATGTAAGTTTATTATTGTGACAGGCTTACGTAGCATCAAATATAAATTACCTTGCACAGGGAGGAACGCTTCCCCCCGGAGGTTCGCAGGACTCCGTCTCCTCCAGTGCTGGACACTCGACGCCCTCGCCAACAGAGAACTGGAGCACCTGTCGCCTCCGGGTTCGGTTTCCTCTTGGAGACTCGGGGTCCGCGCAGGCCTTGGAGCAGGAGCTCCAGTCGGTCCACTCCGTCACCTGGCAGTCTTTAGGGAGGACGCAGGACTGGATGGTCAGCGGCAGCTCCCGCGGTATGCACAGGCTGGGATGGAGGAGACAGAAGAGGGTCAGGTGTGAAGGAGGAGGAGACTCAAGACCACGAAGTGGTCGAGACACTGGAAATCCAAATAAGCAGCAGCTGCTTATTTGGATTAAACAGTGACAAGAAGCCCTAAAATACTAGATCATATTTAATGACTATCAAACATGCAAAGCTTGGCAGCCGGATCCAGTGGAGCAAACAGTGTGATAAAAACTGTTAATGCATAAAATGGAGCTAATCTGATCACTTAACTCCACAGATTAAAATCCCACTGATTCTTCAATTTGAAACTCGAACCTTCTCCGTTTTGACCTGACATGAATGGGAGGAAGGATGAGCATAAGTAAGGTTACCACATATCTTTAAAATACAAATAACGCTGAACTACGGCAGCTTTACATGATCAGGTTCAAGTTTTCATGCTAATGATCCAATTAAAAGTTTTTTAAAAAATCTAATCCTGTAATGAAATGCAGCCTCTGGAGAACAAGGTCTGACGCGATTTAAAGCCTCGTTTTGTCCATCATAACGTCATCCTGGTTTCAAGACAAGTCGCCGCTCTGAAAGTCTGAAACTTTGGCTCCTCAATATCCAGTGACGGATTTAGGGAAAGGATATAAATATATAAATAAAAACACGTTTTCTTTCTGCTTCAGACGCCGTCATTAGCTGAACTTATTCGCATACATGGTGCATAATGAGATTCACATCAAGAGTAAAACAGGGGCTCTTTGTATTCATAAGTCAAGTGTTAAGACGACCACAACAGGCTGTGATTCATTGTTCGCCCACTTCTTTTGATCATCTAACAACATTTAGTCGTAATGAGTAACCCAGCCTACTTGGGTCCCTTTCCAATCATTAGAAATTTGTTCCAACCAAAGCCGTCTGTTTTCTGGAAGTCCTCTCCCTCGAGGCGAAGCAGCTGACGAGCTATTAGTGCTAATTACAGCTCTGCTTCATTTAGAAGTCTCTCATTTAGACGCTACCACCGCATTTCACCTCCAGCATCTCTGATTTTTTATTTTTTTCGTACAAATTCTTTTTTATCTCGCAGCTCCTGTGTCTTTGCAGATTAAGACACCTCTGCAGGCTTTGAAGTAGCACCGAAGCGACACTGTGAATAATCCTGGGTTTGTTTTTCCGCCAAGCGCACATGGTGAGCTGGCTCGTTTCTGTTTTTGGAGAAAAACAATGAGAAATTTAAACAGTGAACGTGACGCACCGACGGCTCGATTTCTCATTTCAGATGGAAGTTGTTGTATTAAAAAGCCGTTAATGCAGCCAGTGACCCATTTTCTCTCCAATCTTTGGATCCTTTGAGCCTTCCCCGCTTGTTGTTGTCCACATCCGAGGACATTTTGGAGTAGATCTCAAAGTTGGAGGAAGAAGTCATTGTTTCTTCATCTCAGTTATTCAGACAGAATGAGGACAAAACAATTTCTAGTTAATTAAGTAAGCTGATGCAGAGAAAATGGTCATTTTTAAGCCATTAGGTTTTAAAGTTATGTTCTAACAATGGACTTTGTATCTGCTCTTGAAAGACATAATTCTGCATCTGTCAAAAGATTAAAGAAAACATGTTTTCTGACTTTTGAAGCTGAGAAAGAAACGTTCACATTCAGATGTTTACTTCACTTCAATCAAACTCTAGTTTGTTATTCTAGCTTGTTTTGGGAGGTCTGAACTCTGATGAGGACCAAAAAACAAACAAGCTCTGATCCGTCTAAAGACGGTTAGATTAATGTGAACTCTGGTGCAGCAAGCGGACCAAAGTGCAGGGCATTCTGGGTAAATATCACCAAAACAAGCACAAAAAATCAACACTCCTGCAACAAGAACTGCTGAAGAAAAACAACAGCGCTCCACTCAGCGCAACTTCCTTTTTCACAAAATGTAAACAAAATTGGAGTACAATATTTTGATGAAAAGTTACTTGTAAGTTAGTTTTGTTGTATTTGCACTAGAATCTGGACAAAAAATACTTGGTAATATTTTGTTTTTGCAGTGTAACCTGAATAAAGACAAAAGAAAAATCCTACAACCACTAAAATCTGACGCTACTCTATATTTGTTTACATTTTGTGAAGAAGGAAGTTGTGCTCAGTTTTTTCTTCAGAGGTTTCCATGTCATTTTCTTCAGTAGTTCTTAATGCAGCGCCTCCACAGGCGAGGAGGGGAACAGTTTTTTCAATTGGGTTGGATCATTTGACACAAAGCAGTGTCAAAGCGAACCTAACCGTATGAAAATGTAACAGGAGTATCAGGTGTGAAAAAATCCTTAACGTTGTGCAGTAGAGGCAACGTTTCCTCTAAAAACAAGCAGAGGAAGCCAGAAACTTATTTTTAAAGAAACCCGCATGTGAGGAACCAGTAAGACGCCATTGGAGAAAGAAGCGTCCCAGTGACAGATGTTCATCAAACAAAATTGGAAATGAAGCGAGCAAGATGTTCGGGGGACGCCTGGCTAGGACACGACTGGATCTCTGCTTCTCTGGGAAGTTTGCTCCAGTTTCCACCAGAAAAAATAACTATGAATATTTCAGAACGAGAAATAAACAAGTCAAGGATTAATATTAATGTTCCTAAGAGCATGCAAGTTGTTTTCAAGGTTCCTTTAAAAGTATTGATCCCAGTCAGTGGCGAGAGCCCCACGCTAACAAAGCCTCGATATCCCAGAATGAAGCTTTACCATAGAAGATATGTGACTGTTTGAAAGATAAATTCAGGCTTGCAGCTGTTTCCTGGAGTAGGAAAACCTTGATAAACCCACCAAGATCAAAGTCTGCCGGGAGCAGCTGTGACATTTAATACAGGGCAGGAAATGGAGACAACAGCTCATTAGAAGAATATAGATCTACCCTACAGTTACGCTGAAAAGCCAAATGCACATTACTCCACAAATTAATGCCAGTTATACAAAGGATAACCAATGGCAACTCAATGTTTCATCACTTTCAGTTGAATAATACTCGTGAATGTGCAGCTGTAGGTCAAGCTTTCTTTCTCGGAGAATAATAAGTCCCAAACCAAATACTCTGCAAATGAAAACAGAGCCAAGCACCGAAGCACATAATAACCTCTTTTCACAGCCAAATAATCCACAACTCCTCATTTGGGGGTTCATAGGAGAGCGATCGTAAATACGATTGTACCAGTTCTGTTCCCCTGGGTTACATATATATCCTGCTAAAGGGTCCATAACATGCAGCGATAGCAGATGTATGCGTCTGACATATTACTGGCAGGAAAAGAAACGTGGAGCTATTTTACAGAACATGTGAAATTGGTCTGTCTATTCACAGACACCTTGACTTTAACAATCGTGTCATAAGAAAAGGAGAGGATGCAACTCAGACTGGAAATATACTTTGTTTCAAATATGAAGTTTCCTGTAAGGACAGATTTATTTTAGTAACAACAGGAATCATGTTCTGCTCGTCATGAGACGGATGAAGGTCTGAGGGAGTTTTTGGTTGAAAAAACCCGAACAGGAGGCGATTTCTATCCAAAAGATTTTAATAATAATGGAAAACGCACAGAAGGTTGTTAATGCTTTATCCTGCTTTCAATTCATAATGTAATGAGACATTGTCAATAATATTCATAAAATATGTATCTTAAGAATATAAGTCTGCATCTTGATGCAATTGCATGTAAAAAAAGAAGATAATTTAAATGGGACCTTCTGCTTCGATTAGGTGAAAAACTGCGTCTGTAAACAACCTCAGCACTAAAAAACCCTTCCTGGGAATAACTTGAGGCTTTTTTAGTGTTTTTAAAATGAGCTGATTCAAAAACTTCCCAATAGTTACCACACATTGCATATTCTCATTCATAAATCATGTTGAAAATCTGGGATTGATTTTATTCCACTTCAAAGTGTTTTGTTGGTATTTTATGTTCGGTCAAAGGAATGTAGTAAATTAATTAAGTTTGCTGTTGTGCCATCAAAAGGTATCCCAAGATTTGCTTCCTTTGCCCTCATCAAAAAATAAATAAAAATGTAAAACATAAAAATCTTGCGTTCTACAAATGGTATGATGAGCTAAAACACTTCTCTCTGCTTTTATCAGAGCAAATCAACAATAAATGTCCAACAAATTAAACCAAAAACCAAACTTTACACAGTGAAATCCTCAATAATCTGTCTAATATAAATTATTTCAGTTCATTTAGAACACAGGTGTCCAAAGTGTGGGCCGAGGGCCATTTTTGGCCCATGGAAAATTTTGTTTGGCCACAAGTCAAACTATTTTGGTCAATAGAAAACAAGTAATGAATTCAAAAAGTTTGCAAATTGTTTTTATTTTAATAGAGGAACAATCCGAAACCCTTTTAATTTTATATATCTAAACAGATTTAATTCTAAAATTGTGTTTTGTTGTCAATCAGAAAGAAAAACCACAAACTAATTTTTCAATTTTCAATTTACTGAATTTTGTGGTCCGCCAGCAGTTTAAATTGACCCGTTTTGGCCTTCAGGACAAAAAGTTTGGACACCGCTGCTTTAGAAAATTCCTCCAGATTTTCCAACAACACATAAAAAATTAAAAATCCTCCATAGGTTTATGTAGCGATAGCATCTTGGCGTCTTCTGTGAGCAAATACTCTCCATGCCAGGTTTGACAGAAACATACGAATACAAGTTTCCTTTAGAAACATTTGATTTTAGTCGACTGCAAAGTTCACACTGACAGAACTTCCTGCCAGACATTTTGCTCTCAGATTCATTGTTAGACGGGAAGAGTGTGCAGCGAGTGAGTGGAAACTGACAGCTATTAATCTTTCTGATTTTCAGTCTGACAATGTGCCTTTGTAGCGCTCAGCGAGGATAATGACGGGTCAAACAGGTTAGATCTGACATGAGGAAACTCAGATTTAAAGACGTGTTGGAGAATAGTTCACCACTTTAAGTATTTTGAAAAGCTGCAATTTTTTACTTTCTTTTATTTGAGTAAAATAAGTGACTTGTCTCACTATTCTTTTGAAAATGTTGAAACTATTAGCTTTCTTCCCATCTGCAATTATTTGAACTTGACCTTTTGAATCTATAAATGTTTCAAAACAAGAAAAACTTAAAATTACACAACATAAAGAACAGCTTGCCTTTTTAAATACTAAAAAAAAACTTTGGAGATGCAACTTCTTAAAATCTAGCTAAGTATTCACAACACAAGAAAAAAGATGGAGTGAGACCTCTTGTTTTCCTTGGACATCTTTGATGTATAGAAAAAGTTTGTGAAACTAATAAGGTCAGAAAAACAAAATCTCTCAATTCAAAACATATTTTCTTTCAGATTTAGGAAGAATTGTACATTTGACTGCAGGAGAGGCATGAGGATAAAATGTCGTTCACACAAAAATATGTTTTAGCAGCAACCGGTCAGAGCATTGACAAGACCACAGGTAATGTTGGAGATATCAACCTTTCTCAGGTAAGAAAATGTATTTTTTTAAAAACCGCTTTACTTTTTTCTTCCTCCGTCAATCAAACAGCATCTGCTGATGTCTGCCACCTAAAACAAATCCACGTTTTTATCACTGGAAATGAATTATGGCAGTGAAATCCTGTTTTTCACCTCCAGCGTCTGAGTGGGATAAAAGGAAACAGATGAAGACTGACGTTATGTTTTAACTTCTTCTTATTTAAAGGACAGATAAAGCTGTCGGCAGAGTGGAGTGACTGGATCGTCAAAATAATATTTCTTTAGAGATTACTCAAAGCATTAAAAGTAAAAACATCACGTAGAATCCCCTGCTACAGTTTTCTTTCTCATTTTGAATCTATTTCTCAAATATGGACAGGAGACATTTAAAAATGAGCCTATAAATTTAAAAAGCTTTGAGTTTTATTTTAGATTCATAATTGCATTTTAAACTTTTATGACCCAGCAATAAGTTCTCTGTCTTCCTGAGTAATGCTCCTAACAAAAATTGAAACAAAAAATGAAAACACCCAATACGTTTTTTTGTGTGTGAAAAGCATCAAAGTCACGGCTTAGATTGATCTCATGTGACAGAGAGACGTTTTTTGTCACTTCTTTCCGCAGAACTCGACATCAGATTCACTTTAATGGTCGTTGGTTCTCTTAGCTTTCGCTAGAAAAGACCCGACCGACGATCGTCTTCCTCAACGTGTCGCCTCCTGACAGGGAGGAGCGAAATGAAGCAGGACAAATCCGACATGTTTCACTGTCATGAGCAGCAGACGGATCATAGAGGCAGGAAATGAGGTTAAAATGACAGGGGAAGATCTACAAATACTAAAATTCAAGTCATCCTTGATCTTTGTTTGACATAGTGGATGAAAGTGCAGAAAAAAAACAAAAAATACAGAAAAGGATGAGAAAAAAGTAAAAAATTTGACTTAAAAACAACTTAGTGTTTCTCGCTGTCATTGGTGGCCTTGCTAACTAGCATGCAAGTTAGCAAATGGGCATGATTGACAACGCTAAGCCCCGCCTCCTGGTTCTGATTGTTGTTTATCACTGGGAGAAGGCAGATGAGTTAGATGGTTTTGCAGATTATTTGTCTCATACTGTTCTGCCATGACATGGTGACAGTTTCACAAATATGAAAAAAAATATTTTTAGGGTTAAGTACTGAAGCTTTAATATTCAATTTTCAGTTTTATTAATTTCTTTTTGGTTGGCCTAATACTGTTCAAAGGTTTACAGCCACACAGAGTAATAATGATCCAAAGTGAGGTACTTACTTGCGCCCCACTCTGCTGCCGTTCCGGTGGATGCAGGCCACTTCCCGGGTCTGGTATCCCACCTGGATGTCCCAGAACGGACTCTCCTGCCGGTTCAGCCGGTTCCTGGACCGTTTCTTTTGAATCAGCTCCCTGGTTTCAGGATCCTTCACCCCTCCTCGCTCCCTGAGGCCCTGACCTTTGCCTTTCCGCCGTTTTGCCTGCCGTGCGGTCCGGGTCTGGGGCAGGACGCAGGGGGTCCACGGTCCGACCCTAAGGCTGTACAAGCCTTCTGGACCCACACAAGCTCCCGGTTTACAGGACTGAAACTCGGTGAGGTTCGGGCAACCGGCTCCTCCGAAAAGCGGAGGAACCAGGACGCTGCGGACTCTGTTCCTGAGGCCCGTTCCGCACGTTTTGGAGCAGGAGGTCCATGGCAAATACTCGGTGACAACGCAGTCCTGAGGGCAGGGGATCAAACACGCCTGCTCCAGGCGCGGCTTGGGCTCAAAGTACTCACAGATGGCGTCCTCTGCTGGAGTCCCGTCCGCCTTGAGCGTGCAGCCCACCTCCCGGGTCTGAATGCCCTCCTCGCCGCCGCTGCACGTGAACTGCCGCGCGGCGCCAAAGGTCCTGGCCGACACCGGTACGCACTCGTTCCAGGCTCCCAGCTGCCAGTCGTACAGGTCCTTGTGCCAGTCGCACACGCGGAAGCAGTTCCTCTGGTTGGAGGGCCGCTGAGCCTGGTCACAGTTGGTGTGGAGGGTCGTCCAGCCGTCCACGTGGGCGCACCAGACCGCCCGGCTCTGGCTGCCGCCCGGGCCGCAGTCGCTGCCCATGCATCGCCCCCACGGACCTGGGGAGGAAGAAGGAGCAACATTAGAAAAATGGATAAAATCCTATTTGATGCATGAAACAATCTTGGGAAAGCCGTCTGTTTTCACTGGGAAAAAGATATTGTTACCAGTTGAATTAGCAGATTGTTTCATCTTGTATTTTGTAGTTTTTTTAGAAGAAGAGAGTGAGGAAGAAGAAAATACTTGTGTGATTCGTAGCCATTTTTAGTTGTTGTTGGCTTTGATTTGAGAAACAATTATTTCTCAGATTCTGGTGAGTGTGAGCAAATTTAAGAGCAGTTAAAATAAATCCTATATTGTTCTAATTTAAAAGGATAATGAGCCATAAATTAACAAGCTGGACAAAAGCTTGTATATCCATTAAATTTCCTCAGTTTTGAGGGATCAAGTTGAACGAAAAACTTGAATTCCTTTATTTTTTGCAAATATAAACCTGAAAAGTGTTGCAAGTGTTTCGGTTTCACTTTGCACAGCTGACTGGTTGACATGGAGATTAAATGATTTCTCAAACATGCATGAAAGAATCAAAGCAACACCAGAAAACATTGAATCAAAGCAGCAAAGCAACACCACAGGTCTGTTTCCGAAGAGGGAATAACATCACAACATAAAGGAAGGCTCAAAAGAGTCACGTTTACATGATACTGCCCCTTTAAATAAAAATACATCAACATATTAATCAATGTTCCAGGTATTGTGAAACAAAGGCAGGTTTTTTTTTGTGTAGAACTCTGTGTTTTGGCAGGTTTGCAGTTTTCTGGAGGTTTGTTCCAGACTTATGGTGCACAAAAGCTGAATGCTGCTTCTTCTCATTTGGTTCTGGTTCTGGGCATGAAGACCAGAACCAGAATCAAGATCTGATACGACCAGAAGGTTGAAACAACAGCAGATCTTTAATGTATTGTGGTGCCAAGCCAATCAGTGTTTTATAAACTAGCCTAAGTATTCTAAGTATTTTTAAAATCTATTCTAAGAGCTACAGGGAGCCAGAAAACATTGAATTTGACTCTCCAAATCAACCAAATCTGCAGGAAAATAACAAATCTAACAACAATAATGACAAAGTTGGAAAACTGCTTTGATTAAAAATAAATTAGGGGAGAAAATAATGGAAAAGTTAGGATGCAGCAGGACAAATTGATGCACAGACACAAAATTACCCTTTGACTTTTATTTTCTGAATGTAAACAGCAAGTGAACGTTGTGTTTTTATATGGGATAGTGATTATTAAAGGTGATCAAAGGGAAGCATCTGAAAGACCAAAGTGCTGTGAATTATCTGTGGTATTCATCAAACCCTTTTGGCAGCCAGCAGATATTGCTTCAAACATTCAATACCAGCCATTTCCAGGCAAACATCAGACATAAGCTTTCGTTGCATGAGTACTTATACAACCCAGCGCACAGATGATGCAAAGAACAGGACATGCTTGCAAATGTTGCAGAAACCGAGTCATTTAGAGAGATTTTGAAGCTCCCAACTGAGCTGCAAGGAATTGTGATCTAAACTACGGTGATAAATAAGTGGCAAAACTCTGTTGCAAACTCTCAAAATGATCTTGTGTGTTTTGTGACTTGGCCAGTTTTCTTCAAAAAACTAAAATTATTTATATTGTATTTCATGCCAGAACTTAGAAACTGCAAATGGTGCATTGAGGTTATTTTAGATATGAAACTTATTCTAAGAAACTCAGATATTTTTAGATTAAACTGAATTTTTTTTAAAAAAAACAAAAAAGACATTTGAGTTAAAAAGGTAAAAAAAAATATTGATTATTCAAAAAAGATTTCTAGAAGACTTCTAAAGTCAAAATTTGCTAGTGAAAACCCCTGAAATTTTGAGATTTCAGAAATTTAGCAAAACACAAACATTTCTGAGTTTCAAAAGCTTTTCCAGGGAAGTTTTTTTTTCTTGCAAATTTGCGACTTAAAAACACATGCAATTTAATGTTTTTCTAGAAAATTATAAGATAAATTTCAAAATCCCACTTTTTTTCTAGCTAATTTCTGACTATTCTTGAATTAATTTTCTAGATTTTTTTGTCAGAAATTTTGGACCTTTTGGCAGGTAAAAAATTCCTACACTGTCCTATTATGCTGTCATAAGTATCATCCCTTTAAGCGTTCTTAAAGGTTTACATCTAAAATGAACCAACCTGTGATCAAACATAGCAAGAAAAAAAATAGGATTAATTAGCACAGTTTGGCTGTACTCTGATCGTGTGGTCCAAAGGTTATTAATACCACAACAGGAGAGAAATTTAATTCAATAGGAAGCTTCACATTTCAACTAGCAAGCTGATTATGTTAGCATGTGGCAAATCAAAATGCTTGTGGTGATAATTAGATGGCGCAGCAGCAAAGAGCGAGCGACAGCGGCCGTCTGCGGCCCGATGTTTCCGTCAGAGGAACTAGAAAGGTGGTGCAACAAGTTTGTCAAAACTGGTTTAAAATGTTGTTTTTTTTCTTCCTGACATTTATTGCTGTAGAAGTTCTGCTGCTGTTGGCGGTTAACTAACCTTTTCTAACTGTAGTGTGTTGGGATCAGGTCTGTTTTCTTTACAGGTTCTCCATTTTAATGGCTCAGGCTAATATATATTTCAGACAAGTTTTATGCATAATATTGACATATTTTCTATATGTTTTAAAGCTGTGTTTAATTGTACAACTATTGACTGCTGTTAATGTTATTTATTGTATTTTATTTCATGTTTAGGACTTTTTAAATCAAAGTAATGCTGTATATTTTCAGTTTCATTTCATGGACTGAATATATATATGTATATATATATTCTGTATATTGGAGGCTGAGGCCAAGTTGATTTTCTCTCTTGTTAGAACAACTGCAGTGAACCTGAGTGTGTCTGTTGTGAAGTCAAACAAAGTAGGGTTACAAATGTAAGGTTTAAAAAAATGTGATTACTAGTTTAAAAATAAGATTAGTAAGCAGATTGAAATGCGGTACATTCTGTTAAATTTTGAAAACTTTGGATTTATTGTTTATTGCCAGTTGCAATAAACAATAAATCCATTAAAAACATGGTAAATTAAAATGAAGGATTTATTGTTTTTCGCTTGTGGATGGAAAACATTGACCAATATATTTGATTTGGATGATTTTGGTGATGCCACTCACCAAAATGTAATGTTTGTTCAGTTGTTGACTGTATGGTGTTTTCTTTAAAATGTTGTAAATGTGTGTTTTTGCAATGTAAAGCACATTGCTGCTGAAATATGCTGTATAGAAAAATTAGATTGATTGATGTAAAAGTTTTCAGTCTGGTGTTGAGAATTCATTATTTGTTGTTTTGTTTATTATTTCTTACTATTTATTTTCATTATTTAAGATGTCTTCCAGCTCCAGTTTTAAATGGTCATCAGAATTTAACGTTTATTGATCCATGAAAATGTGTGCACAGTATTATGCCATTATTGCAATTATATATGTTGAAAAGGGTCAGAAAACAGCAATATTATTGATCATCACAATAACTTCAGGGACAATTTATCGTCCAGCATTAATCATGACAGGTCTGCACATAAAACTACAATCTAATCAGAGTAAGAAAGAATCCGTCTCCAGGTCAGAGGCGTGCTGCAAACCTGCAGCACATTGTGAAAAACAGACAGAGAACCAAAGTTTTATCTCCAAATATTAACGTAAAGCTTCATTAGCATAAAAATTACTTTTAATATTGCACGAAGCATCATTCGAATCTGTGAAAAACAGTTTCACATCAATGTGCGACGTTTGGCAGGCTGCAATCAGGATGATAAATTACTGCTAACCTAATACATTTAAATAAATTAACAAATCTGCACGTCATAAACTAACATTGGCTGTCAAGTTATCGTTTTTATTTCTAGTATTGCACAAAAGGGGTTTGCAAATTGTATTCCCTTAAGGGAGTTTTAATCTCCTCCCATCCTTAGATAATCTCACACTGCTTCAGTCTTTTTGAAGGTCAAAGTACAACTACAGGATTAAAAATAAAAGGAAAAGACTTTGGAAGAAACTTCAGACAGAATATTGACTCAGACCATCCTGAAAGAGTTTCAAAATCTTTTAAATTTAAAAAGAAGTGGCTGGTGGTGAAATGTGGATAGTACTCTACTGTAACTTCAATTGTACTGCAAACAAAATATTAAAGAGAATCAGGGCAATATAGGTTTGACTTTTGCATCTTTGTAAATTTCTTTAAGCTTAATGAACATCCAGTAAATACGTTTAATTTTAAACATATTTATTGGAAATCTACTGATTACTGATTTATTTAAATAAATATTACCGTAGTGTGTTGTGAGACCAAGTAAAAGAATCCAAAACGTTTCCCCTGACATCATCTCCCTCCATCTTTGCCGTGTTTGGGTCGTAATATCCTCACTGTCGGGACCAGAGTCTGATCTGTGTCCATTTAATGAACGCCGTCTTTGTCCCTGCAGGGTCAGCCTCACTGATGAATGGGTCACTGTGTTTCCCTGTCTCCTCTCATGTCTGTTTGCTTATTTATTTTTTGCTCTCCAAAACAGGATGTCTCTCGCCGCTCTGAAGGGTCAAAGTTCACCGGAGGTTCATTTCTGCGTCGCAGTGTTTAAAGCCTGCAGACGTGATCCAACTTCGCTACGTTTACAACAATATAGACGGAAAAACAAAACGCAGAATAAAAAATAGGCAGCAATATTTTCAGCTGGTCTCAAAACTCCTTCACTATGTTGTCAGAGTGGGTCAGAATCTGCAGTAGAACAATAATATGTAGAAACAAACTGAAGGGTGAAATGGAGGTGAAATGAAGAGGGTAAAACTGAGAAGTGAATCCAGGTAACAAGCCAGATTTAATAAAAGAAAAAACAGTTTTTAAGATTCAAACTACTTGGAGTTACTTTTTAAACCGTTCTGAAACACTGATGCTGGTAATTTGCTCTCTAACTTGTCAATTTTTCTCACTTCCAACACCAATATCTGAGGTTTAGTATCGACCAAAACCAATATCTGAGGTTT